CGATTCAAGATGTTTTTGATAATAAGCTTCTAGAAGAAGTCCAAATGCTTGAAAAAAATCAAGAGACTTTGATAAATTATGTCAATACGAGAGAGAAAATAGGACGGAAAAGAAACATTTATTGATAAAATTTTTACATATAATATTGCAATTTATATTTTGAATGAAAATAAGGATCCTAATCCTAAATTTATTGAAGAATGTCGACATAGAGATGATTGACCTAAATGTAAAGAGCAATCGAGAGAAAATTATATTCTCTCTAAATACTCGAAGATGTTTAGATAGAATTATATTCCCTTACAAATGAATAGTTTTTAAAACACCCGAAGATGCTTAGCCAATGAGATACAAATGAGTAGTTGTGTGAAAATGAAATAAGAAAGATAAGATTATGAGATACAAAGCAAAAATTGTAACATAAGTGTTGATACAAATGCTATTACATTTCGTTAACTTGTTAGCTTAAAAAAATATATGAAAAATTTTATATATATGTATTCAATGAATATGATTATAGTTTATTTATTCATTTGAAATGATATGTATATGAAAGTTCTAGAAGGACTTAACATACACTGAAGCATTATGGCGCCCCCACCCCAGTTCACTCTCTATTAACCAAATAGGGGTGGCCGGGCGAGGAGCGTCACGCCGACACGACCAATCTTCGAATTAACCTTAGACACGTACGTGCTCATACGTTAAGGATTTATCATACTATGAAATACGTACAAAATAATTTACATAATATTAACAAATACAGCAGAAGAAATTATAAAATTTATTTACAATCAAAATATTTATCAACACTCCCACCCTAAAATTACAATAAAAAAAAAATTTCGGTACACTTGTGTCACACACGAGCCTTTTTAGAGGATCCGGTAGCGTCTTTATTAGTATTAAAGTCACTTTTACCTATCATGGCATGCAAAAACAAACAGGGTGAGCCAAAGCTCGGTAAGTAAGGTGATGTATGTATTACGTAACGTTTTTCCGTTTGCCCTACTATTCTCATTAATTTGAAATGTTAAGCGTACCATGGATATTAGTAAGTCCGCTCTATTCTCGGTGATTATCGAATAACGTCAACAATCATTTACTATTGAATAACCTCGGCAATCAATTACTGCCGAATAACCTTAGCAATCATTTCGCGAATAACCTCGCAATCAATTGCGAATAACCTCGCATCATTTACGGAATAACCTCGGCAATCGGTTCAATCCATCTCCGAATGCATATGATGTACGTGAAGTTACATTTATCCTACTAAACACCCTATAGGTGCCGGACCTTAGACTATCAAATCATTCTCAAGATCCAACCCACATAGGGTTTTTGATATATTCCCATATCATTTTCATAATATTTCCTCCAAGGAAAATCAATTACCGTTGACTCATATTAGCCAAGTCATGAACTTTATGTTGCACATAGGCACTTTCCTCTCATTAAATTTAGTAAGTCTCATCGTATAATTCATCCTTCACTCGACGTGCATAATTAGTAGCATTTTAAACCAGTTAAAACATACTAAGGTGACAGTTTCTCTTCGAACCCAAATTGGGGCATTTTGGGTCTGAATTGGGCTTTTAAATGTTCTAGGTCAAAATTTCGATTTACCTAGCAATTTTTTTCTATCTAAACATCCTCTTATACTTATTAGGGTGTATTCAAACCATTAATTATAGAATTGAAGGATTGGAATCCAAATCCTCACGGTTTAGGGTTTAAGCCGAATAAGTCCTTAAAGTGGCCGAAGATTACTTTTTTGTTTTTCATCCCAACTTACTAATGTATACCTAATTAAATTATACTTGAGTCCTATGCCCTTAATTTCCCCAAAAGATTAATTCTTTTTCCATTTTCCCCATTTGGCCGAATGGTTTTAACCTAGGGAAACTCTAGAAGTTTATTCCTTTTTCTTTCTTTTTTCCCTTCCAACCCATCCACACATTTAAACCTATCAAACAAGCTTTGCATGACAACAAAATATATAAATACATCACAATTTAGCAAGCCCTAACACCAACACAAACAACCATAGCAATCCATAAAGATATTATTACAAACCCATGAAATAAACAATAAAAAGAATAACTTAAAAAAAATAACTTAAGACATTAATCAACAAAAAATGGAACCTACTTACCTTGCTTGAATTTCCTAAAGCTTGGTTAGGCTTTCCCTTCTTTCTTTTCTTTCTTTTTCTTTTTCTTTTCCTTTCCTCTTCCTCTCTTGTTTATCGTTTTCCTCTCCCAATTTTGGTGGCTACGATCGCCTAAAAATTTCCCATCATTTGCACTCTTTCCATATATATATACATGCTTAAAGTCTTGGTCTAAGTAAGTGTACAAATGGTTGGATTTAATTTGGAAGAGTGGAAAGTTAATGGTGAGTCATGAGAGAGAGGTGGTAGATTTGAGATAAAAATGGATGAGTTGGCTATTAATTCATTTAATGCATTGCTTAGGTGTCTACTAAAATTTTAGGTTAACTATACACCCTAATTAACTTGATTCAAGTAAATAAACATAGTTTCCTTCATGAAATTTTGGAAATTTCTTTTCTTAAAACTCACAAATTCCTTGTCCATTATTTTTTCAAAAATTCCAGTAGTGATGCTTCAAGACTAATCTACACTAAAATGGCCATAAATCTTTATATATATGTCTAAAAATCATAAAATTTTATAGAGAGATAGTAGACACATAGAAGAACAACCTTTATTCTTTAAGTTTTACTCAAAAACCACTCTAAAGTTCTCAAATAAATTACACAACATTCGGACATAATATAATCCTCAACACACTGATCAACATACCGATTTTGATATATATACATATATAACCACTCTATAGTTCTCAAATAAATCACACAACATTCGGACAGAATATAATCCTTAGCACACCGATCAACACACTGATTTTGATATATATATATATATATATATATATGAATATTTTTTTTACGGGGGTTACAAGCGTGTAATACATATTCTCAAGAAATGAATTCAATTAAATTATAGAGATTTCTATCGGGATTATTTTAGTATTTTTTTAGTTTTTAAAAATTCAATTTATTCTATATTTTTTAATATATTTTTTTATTTTTTCAATATCTACTATTTATTATTAACTTGTGTGCATATGGTATAATCGCTTCAATAAATATTTATTAAAAGAAAGTTATAAAAATAACTATATTTATTCATATACTTTTATAAAGAAATTCAAAAAGGGGTTTGTGATAGTTGCTATTTATGTTGATGATTTAAATATTATTAAAACTCTTGAAGAGATTCCAAATACCATAAGTTATCTAAAAGGAGAATTTGATAAAAAATACCTTGAAAAAATAAACTTTTATCTCGACCTACGGTTCGATTACTTAAAGAACAAGATTTTATTCCTCGATCAATTTATATAGAAAAAGTCCTATAATGATTCTATACTTTTTCTATATAAAGCTCATCCATTGATTAATCCAATGGTAGCTCGTTCACTTAATATCCAAAAAGATCTTCGTCGACTTCAAGAATATAACAAAGAATTATTTGGTCCTAAATTACCATATCTTAGTTCAATTGGTGCATTGATGTATTTTGCTAATAATACTCAATTTAATATAGCCTTTTTTATAAATTTATTAGTAGGACATAAGTTTTGCTCTAATATGGAGATATTGAAATGGAATTAAATATATCTTACGTTATCTTCAAGGAAAAATTGATATGGTATTTATTTTACACAAATAAATCGAAATCATGTTCAATTGGTTATCTAGATGTAGGTTATTTATCCGATTCATATAGAATTTAATCACAAATGAATTATGTATTTAAGCATGGTGATATAGCTATATCATGATGTTCTACGAAATAAATTATAGCTGTTACATATTCAAATCATCCATAAATACCAATTCATGAGGCCAATCGAGAACGTGTTTGGCTAAGATTAATGATCGATCATATCCGAGAGACATGCGGTTTATCTATTAACAAAAAATTTCCAATAATATTATATAAAGACAATGTTGCTTGCTTGCATAATTCAATTAAAGAAAGAATACATCAAAGTGACAATCCGACCGACTTATTTGCTAAGTCATTACTTGCCACAACTTTGAGAAAATGGTTCATAAGATCGAGATGCATTATCTTAAAGATCTTAAATGATGTTTTTAACAAAGAAGCCCAACAAGTGAGATTAATGTGTACAAAAAATATTGTACTCCTTTTTCTTCACTAGAATTTTTTTCACCTGGGTTCTTTGCTAGTAAGGTTTTAACGAGCCATGTTCCTTGTAAGATGGATATTAAAGGAGGAACGTTATGAAATAATGAATGTCCATTACCATTTCATTTTTTTCACTACTCATGTGATTCAATTCACCTTTCAATACGAGAAATTAAAGGGATGATACAATTTATTCAATTATTTATGTATTTTTTAATGGGTCATAATCTCTTTCAATTATCTTCATAATCTTAAAGCTTATAAATAGACTTGATTGTTCATTAGTTTATGTATAAATATTTTATAAAGATTGAGATATTATTTGAAGTTATTATCTCTTATATTCATTTTATTTTATAATGAATTGATTCAGTGACTTCATTTCCTTATCATTTTTTTCTTTAATTCTACTATTGTTATAGATTTTTTTTAAAATAACAATATAAAGATAAAAACTTACTTAGGAATACATTGATCATTAATTAAAAAGGGAAAAAAATACACGTGTAACATCTTCACGGGACGTGGAAACTTAACGGGACGACGCATGTGAAGCTTGTTTTCTAATCCATCCATTTTTCCATCGTCAATTATTGCTCCCAGCTCCTCGCCGTCCATCAAGAAAAATTAAAGGAAGACAAAATAAACTACTCCACCATCAACCCTAATAATAGGCTAATAATAAAAAACAAAAAAAACTCACAGCTATTTCCATCCTTTCCTTCAGAGTAATAGTCATCACTATCATCATCACATGGATAGTCCACCGACCATTGTCATTGCACCTGAACCTCCGCCTTTCCCAGCTCCACCAAGAAGTGTAGATTTGTCCCCTCTTGAATTCATTCTTGCTCTCATAGCTGTTATCGCCATTCCTGCTTTGATCTACACCTTTTTCTTCTCCGTCAAGTGCCCTCCTCCTCCTTTCAGGAGGCGTTACCGGAGCAGCAACACTTCTAATTTCTCCGACACACTTTCTGTAGCTGAAAGCAACGAATTAAACACGACTGGTGATCAGAAGGAGCATGTCAAGTATCAGAAAGAGACACATGGGAAGGATATTGGAAGTGAATGTCCGGTTTGTTTGTCAGTGTTTTCTGATGGGGAAGAAGTGAAGCAACTAAGTGTGTGCAAGCACTCCTTTCATGCTGCTTGTATTCAGATGTGGCTCAATTCTAATTCCAACTGTCCTGTTTGTCGAGCTTCTGTTGCTCCTGCTCCTGCTCCTGTCAAGCATCCTAATAGCAGCAATAATAATAATCGGCCCACCAGTGTTTCTTCTACATCCAGAAGAAATAATGTTGACGATCTCCAGCAAGGATTGCCGGATGCGGCTAGTTTGGTTTGAGTACGAGATCTAGCTACCTACCATCTTCTTGAATCTTGTTATTAATAGAAGTGTATACTACCGATCGGCCTTTGTTTCCATGAATTTCAAGTAGAATGTCTTCTTCTTTTTTAATTGTTTTCGCGAGTTTTTAGCTCGAAATTTCCATGCGGAATTGTTGCTCAATTATGTGTGGGATGATGTTGGGGATTGCAACTGTGAATCAGTGATGGCTGGGCTGTAATTTTGAAAGAGATGTGCAATCTGTGAACAGAGATAGAATTTATGCTTTTTTTTAGATTTTTTTTGGCTTCTCTCTCTTTTTGTGTTTTCACAAAAGCAAAGTTTGCATTTTTTTTAAAATATTTTTTAACATATTGAAAATATGAAAAAACAACTTAGAACTCTTTTTACAAATCAATTTCAAGATGATCAAATTTTGGGAGAACCATTGAATATTACAAATGGATGTACATCCTTTCTCACATTCCTATGATAATCACTTTCAATTATTTTTGGCTGTAGATGAAGTCCATATAAAAGGTAAGCATTGAAACTTAAAAACTTGACTTTGCATAAAATATACAAATCCTGTACTGCTCTGGTGAAAAAAGAATTTTCATGATAACCAATATAAAAAATGATGAATGTTATACATGATGAAGCCTGGCTGATTGTCTCTGTCCAAACTAAAAAGGTTTGTCGGCGATCTCCTCCAAAATGGCATGCTTGTTCGTACAGCAAGGTAAAGGTATATTATATATCTTAGCCAGTTAGTCCCGTTTAAGACATTGCTGTCTCCCATGTGCAAGGACAAAGCCAGCACTCGCAAGCATTCCAACTAAATACCCAGTCATTGCTCCGTACGTTACACATATCGGCCATTCCTGAAAATTGTACATAATGAACATCATGCCTCAAAAGAACGATATAGGAAGGTGATATGAAGAGAAAACGAGTAAAAGTTAGCTGGACTCCAAGAATGCGTGAAGTGAGAAGCAGAGAAATATAACAGGAAGGAATTTCCTCCATAAAATCGTCGTGACTCATAGTCAATACCATAGCAATATGAAACTAGATATCAGTCTGAACACCTGAATATTTCCCTAATCCTGCTGTCAAGTCCTCAGCCTTGCTTTGTCTAAAGATGTACTGAGGCAGTGTAAAGTGGGCCATTCATCAACTTTACAATGACTTCCTCCCCACCTAAGTAAGATCCTACAAACCATCCCCACTCTCTTATTGTAAAGCAGAACGAGATCAAGGCTCACAAAGACAGGTAGGAACAAGGCTCAGAAAGTGATTCCTAATAAGCTACACAGATAAGAGTCGGTTGCATCACCCAAGCAAGAGGCAGTGTAAAGTGGGCCATCCCATGCCAGTTCCAGCCCAAAATAGTCAATTTTGAAAGAGTGTAAAACCAATTATGGGAATCTGGATATACAGGTGGATAATACACAAACAGGGTAACATCCTAGAAGATGTATAGTTACAGTAGTTTCCAAAAGTGTAACAGGCAAAATCAAACTTAGGAACTAAAGGAGAAGAGCAGTACCTGCCATGGCCTTTCCCAGTCCAGTGGCATAGGCCAAGCTCCAAACCAGCCTCCAATAACAGCTCCATGTGCTGGTATGCAGATCATATATTCCAATGGTCCATTTGGCCTAAGAGTGGGGGAACAAAATTCAACATTGATGCAAATAAATTTGTTGGGAAAGTTAACCAGTTGCTTTCATGTAACAGATTTTTTAACTTCACAGCCTTGATTTTTTTAAAAATTCCAGTCGGTTTCCATTGCTGATCAACTTAGCAGATAAACATTAGCTATTAAGGGGCTCTTCCCCGTTTCAATTAGCATATAGCACATGTACCATGTCTAATCCCACCAAAAAGTTAAGGTTTACATGTATCCAACCTGTGGTTCCCTTTGAATTAGAAAGAAATCCAGGGTTCAAAGACAGCAGAACAATCAAATTATTTCGTGGAGAGAAAAGAGATGCACAGAAAGAGTGTATGTTGTACAACTAAACATGGACTAAACACCTACCAATGTTGGAACCTTACTTTGTCTGTGTGAATATATGATGCCAAAATGTCCATGATGAACCAAATACTGAAGCAGCAGGTGCAACCTGCCAAAAGGCATAGAGGCACTTGAGACCCATTCATCGAATAACAGAAAGTTTGGAGTGACACAAAAAATCAGGATACATTCCTCTGGATAACAAAATTAACGAAAATGAGAATTAAGATAGAGCAGAAAAGATGAGATTCTAATGGAGATTTAAATGAAATTCATCAGACAGTAATAATCATACTAGGCAAGTTCTATAACAGTAAATACTTACTGTGAATGATGACATAAGAAGAGACCAGTTAACGGTCTTTGGCAAGTACCTGTCCTCAAATACCAAAACAGAAAAACAATAATACACTTCAGAACAGGTTGAATTCAATGATATGCATGAATCAAATTTGTAATTTCTCTCTTCCTAGTTCTGAAACTGTAAGTCAATGGTTGAGGCTGGACAGCCACCACCAGTCATTGAAGTTCAATGTTGAAACTGGGTTCAAACAAAACAATGGCTACCCAAATAGAGGTTCAGAAGGAACAAGAAGGCAAAAAGAAAAAAAACCAATTTAGGAATCTGATATTGACAAAAGGTTTTCTTAGGGACTACAGTCTTAACAGTATTAGAAAGAATCTATCTCTTGCAACCTCAACTATGACTTCTAATTTCTCAAAATTTATGTAACTATCAACCAGAAGTACACATACTGGATACCAACAGGTGCACCCAAAGCAATGGCTCCAAGTGCAATCACCAGAGCACCTACAAAGTAAAAGATACGATGAAATATGTTAAGTTGCATAAGGCATATATAGAAACTAACAATAATGGCCAGAAACTAAATTTAGCAGTGGTATAATTCCACTTTGAAGATTTTGAACATTCCAAATCAATTAATACCGTTTACTTCTATTCATTTCAAACCTCAATTACGTCCCAAGTGAAACCGTAACTTTTTGTTGAATAGGTTCACCAAAGTGACATATTTACACGCCAATAAAAAGCAGAGATATGCTAATCTACTCAAAGCATACATTTTTTAATCTGTATCACAGAACTAAAATTCCAAAAAAGAAAGGAAAAATAAGCAAGGCTCAATACTAACCAACAGGAAGTGCCAATATTCCCCGTGCTACAGCTTTCAGGTACTGCAAATTCACAAAAAGAAGGAAAAAAAAAAAAGGAACAGATTAACTAAAACAAGCAAACCAATCGAAAAAAGGGCTTGTTAGGTTTCCAAGGAAATGATACAAAAACATCACTTTTCCACATTTTCCGAAAAAAACCCATAACACATAAAGAGCAAAAGATGACAAGGTAATACCGAACATTGTTGAGGATCAATTCGGAAGAGGCTGTAAATAAGTAGGACAATTGCACTCTCAACAACCTATACAAAGTAACTCAAGCTATTATTGAGAAATTGGAACAATGAATTCAAAATGAAAGAGAGAGAGAGAGAGAGAGAGAGAGAGATATTTAAAGTTTACCCAGATGAGACGGAGGGTAAGTGAAGAATCAGAGACGAGATTGATGGAGTAGAGATTGTTGGCTACCCATAATGATAATGCTAAGCCAAGTCCACAAATCAGATGGATGAGAAATGCTTGTGGGGCTGATATTGATTTGGAATGTGAGGGATTCTCCTTCACCTTGACCTTGACCTTCTCCTTCTCCTTCTTCTTTTTCGATTGGTCTGTCATTGATGAACTATCCACCAAAACTCATTAAGCAAACAGATGGAGAACACCAAAACTCAATCTGATTATGAATTTTGACAGTTAAGGTTTTGAGCTTTGCTTACACAGGGAAGAAGAAGATGGGACTGAGAAGTGACAAATAGACTCGAGAGACAGGACGGAGGAAGAAAGATTATGATGGATGAAGTTATTGCACGGCGAAGAGGTAGCTAAGAATAGAAAGGTATATTAAGGTGAACGGTTGGATTGAAATCAAAATATATGGATTGGTGATTTTTTTTTTTAATAATCATTTTTTAATTTGTTAATTTAAATCCTAAATATTTGTTTTTTTTTTCCCAAAGAAAATAGATTTATCATGCATGGCTACATTATACCGTTCAAAACAAGAGTAAAATATAATTTAATTCTTCTAATTTTTCAAAACGAATTAAATATTTTTTTAATATCAATTAGTTTTTTCATTTATTTTCATTTTTTCAAATTTTTTTATTTTTTATTTTAAGAAATGAAAAAAAAGATAAAATGATGTATAGATATTATGAAAAAATTGACGAATAAATTTTTTTAAAAAAAATTATATGAAATTAATCATAGTAAACATTGATCAAAATATTAATTATTTATTTTTTGAAATTAAGAAAACTATTTGATTCATTTTGTAACACTAAAAGAAATAATTTATAATTTACTCTTCAAAAACAAAATACTATATATTAATTATACAATTATTTTCTGTGTAAATAGCGTATTGTATTATCTCTCATTTTTAGGAGTACATAAAAAAAAATTATAAAAATAAGTGCAGCAACAATTATGAAGACATTTTTTAATTGCAATCATGTAACTTATTAAAAAACACGAAAACATGAAAGGATAATTTAAATAATAATGGACCGATATATTTTTTATCATTACCATTGTGGCCCATCACTTAAACATCGCCCAACAAAAATGGGCCTCCTTTCTTAGCCTAAACCTTAATAGCGAAAGCTTAAAAGATAAAGTGGGTAATGAGTGGCCTGTCTCCAACTTATAGCAGAAGAAGCATGAGGCGTTCAAGTCCAGGGTTCAAACACAACTGCCCTGGATATGCTTTCAAGTTTCAATAAAGAAGTGAGAATTTTTTTCGCGTTTTAAGCGATTCTATATCTTTTCTACACATTTTGGTTCCTGCATTTCAAGTTTCAACTTAGAGACCCTGCAGCTCGAACTTGAATCTTCTGTCAATATTGACCAATGTGAACACCATTAGCATTGAACGATTCTACAAAATTTTAACCATATACTTAACTTGCAACTTGCTAGGGGTGATGGTCAAAATCTAAACAGAGAAACTACTATATATGTGTGTGTGTGAATGTGTCAAGTTAGAGGGTGACGCATCCCATTTTTTTCTTAATTTGTTTCAGAAGGAATGCATGAGAGTATTATTATATGCACATGTTAGCTAGCAACAGGTGTGAATTGAATGAACCATTTTATATAGTTAATTAGGGTCAATTTTAACTGTTAGCAAACTCATTCGTCGACCCTCCCCCAAAACAAAGGCGAACAATCAAATTGGACTCACAATTAACATATATATATATATATAGAAAGGATATTCTACTTTTAAAGGGAGGTTTGAACTTTCTACATAATGGGATTCGATTACGTGAAAAATGAAAAAAAATTAAAAAAAGTAGAATCCTAGCTAGAATTAGGGGTTAGGCAAGATATATAGGATCAATGGATTTTTCTATTAAGAATCAATTGAAGTTGTCATTAACGCCTATAAATGAAAGAGGATCTTATCATCATTGATAGAACAAATTATTATAAAATATAGAAGTGGATTGTAACAGTTTAACATGCGCATAAGCAAATATTTTTGGTAGTATCTATAATTAATTTGCATCAATATGATTTATGACTCGTATCCCAGAAAAGGAAAACGACTTGGCTTCCTACCTATGGGAAAAGATTCCTTTGCAAAGGCACATTTGTGATCATGTTAGTGGCGGCATCCTCTATTCCTTCATCATTTTTGTTGCAATTTGTTTGCTTTATCTCTAAGATTATGGAAATGTGGTCCTAACCTAGTACTCACGAGACTTTTTATTACAAAAAAGTAAGCAAGCATGACCAATATATATGAAAACCACAATCACATGTTCTTTCTGTCTTAAAGTGATTGTTCACTTTTTTAAAAAATCTTTCCAAAAATTTAGTCAAAATTTTAAATGATGTCTGTAGGATCCTCCAATAAATCTATTGGAATTGGCTATATATTAATGGAATCTTATCATCCATACATAATAAATTAATATGGTATATTCACATCATAACATATGAACAATAAGAACTAGTACTTTTATTAAGAATAGAACTCATAGAAAAGAAAATATATCCATGAATCGAATCAAATATGCAGTATTTACTTCCAAAAATATTTGATTATTTAAGCCATCCACTTGTTTGACAGAGATTGAGAGGGAGAGAAAAGCTTGTGAGACTATAGGTTTTGAGTTCATTTTATAAAATATTGTTCAAATACAATTATAAAAAATATATTTTTGAAAAATATATAAAAAAAAATGCTGATATAAAATAACAATGAATAGCTTTGTTAATCTATATAAAAAGTAAAGGTGAACAATCTCTTTGAAAAAAAATATATTAAACGCTCTCTTTTTCGATTCAATAAGAGGTTTAAGAGACGCTAAACTATATAACAAGAATACCTTTCCCTTCGTTGGATAATTATAGTTGATAAATTGGTCGGACTCAACTAAAATCTTCTATATAAATTATACGGTATAATAATGTTTTGTTTGATTAATGCCACAGAATTGTGATAGGTGTAATCTAGATCTTCCATGTCTTTAAAAGTTTGGTACATGAAAAACCAAGTACAGATATTTCGTATTCATTACCATAATTATATGTAAAATTAACATTGTACAAGAAATTTTCCAACTAGCTAGCTAAAACCACGCACTCAGGTGCTGCTTTCTTTCAGCTCTTACTGCTATATTACATACAATGATCCATCACATCATATATCACATGCATTCTTTAACCTCCTCGTGCTACGTACTATGTCTCATTAAAAACCTTATTAATTAAGGAGACATTAGAGTTTCCAAGCTATATGTAACCTTACTATCAGGTGAGTTGCTCCGAGATGGGAAACCTGGTCAGTACCATAGCTCGCGAGCACATTTACTAATCACTCCGCGGTAGTTAACCAATATATCATCTTAATTAATTAGATGACCCACTTGGGCAAACTAGGTAGCTCAAGTTGAAAATACATATTGCCCTGGTTGTGATCTTGCATGGACTTTCGGCTCAAGATCAAAGGTTATTGGATGTGTAGGAGGTGCTGGCTTTGGAGTTGGAGGACGTGGCCCAGGCCTTTCAAAATTTGATATCATAGATATGTACCCATTATTGCATGGAGTCTCATCAGTGCATGGAGACCCAGTCTCAAGTTGGCCTTTTGGTGTTGCAGGCTTCGGGGTCGGAGGAGGTGAGGGCAAGGTCCGTCCATAACTAGTGGTTACTTGACCGAGTGAGGGATCAGTTTTTGGAGATTCTGGTGGTGGAGACGAATACTTCTCGTACTTGGTGGTTAGCTCCTTGGTTCTTGGTGAAGGGATAGGAGATGGAGGTGGTGGGGTACACTTTCTTCCATAAGCACCTAATATTGCTACTTTGAGTCCGAGTCCAAGGCTATCTGCAACACATGAACAAAATAAAGTTTAATTAGAAAATGCAAGCAACATATATATATATATAAAGAGATTTAACATTCAAAAATAATTTCCCCTCATTAATTATTTGAAACCCTAATTATAATCAAGAAACAAATGATGAGAGAACGTCTGTGAAATTAGATAGACATGATAGCATATCTTACCATAAGTTACCTGATAAAATTCTTGCTTGAGCGCCATCAATGGCTATGAGTCCAACAAAGGCTAAAGTAGTTGCAAGGAAGAGGGCACTCATCATTGGACTCTTCATATTGATCTTTGGCATGTATATATGATATTAAAGCTTGTTGGAGATGGTATTATTTATAGACCTGGGGGATATGTTACTGTGTTGACTCAGTAGTCGGTAGGTAACTGCCCACATCACTCAACTTGTTATACATATGCTACCATAAAAAACTGGTACTAAAAATGTACATTTATATAGAATTTTCCACACACCCAATAGGATTTATTTTTTATTTTTATGAGTAAATGTTAATATTTTTTATTAAAAATAATCGAAAAAGATGCAAATCATCCAATAGTAATTAATTATACTGGTTAGTATATCTTATAATATAATTAATTTGATTCACATGTAGAAGCTCCGTCGTTGAACACTGAAGTGGACAAAGATACATTTAGGACTCGGTTTGGGAGATTTTGTTTTTGCTATTAATATCACATGGGAAAGACTTAGCGGTTGTTCTGAAACCAAACATGGTCTTCTGCGGTCCATTTCCTTGTTCTTTTGCCATTTATTCGCAGTTAGTGCGTTGGACAACTGTAGATACCACGTGTTGACTTCCTAAAAGTTAGAAGGACTTCTGTATTCAAAGTCATCCACCACGTAAAATTATAAATTATTCTAACCCAAAACTAAAACAGCTGGGGAGTTTACTGTTCAAATAAACAGTAAATGAATAGTAACTCCCCAGCTGTTCATTGCTTAAAAAAAATTTGGCTTCTCCCATCTTCTCCGCATGCAAGTTCTTTCTTTTTCATTTTTTTTTTATTTGTTGCCCTTTTCTTCTATTGTAATTGCATTTTTGCCATTGAGTGCCTTCTTGTCATTACTTTTTGGCCCTTTTTTTTGCTGTTTTCCTTGCACCTTTGTTTGTCCTTTATAGACATTTCCTTTTCATATTTAACAAGACATTTAATGCTTCTGATCTTCAATTTTTCTCTCTCTTTCTCGCCCCTTTTTAGTTCATTTATCTCGCTTTGTTTGTCTTTTTTGAACATTTTCTCTTATTTTTTACATAGCATTTAATGCTCCTGATCTTGAATTTTCCTTTCACCTTTCACATAGCATTTAAAACTTTTAATCTTGAATTTTCTTTTTCTTTTTCTTTTCTCGCCTCTCATGTCCGGAATGGGTTTGCTTGTAGATGGGCGTTTCAATTTTTTTTCATTTTCCATTTCCTCTTTTAAATAACTTTGGGATTGGGTTTATTGTTGCCTTTCTAAATAAACTTTTTAACTTTTGATTCCATTACCTCTCAATTTTTTTCTCTCCCCGGTTCAGTCTTCCTGAATGAGTGTTTGTGTTTCTTTTCTTAGTTTTATTTGGATAATGTCTTATCATGAATTTCTTTAATTGGCATCCTAATTCATCACTATTTCTCTAATTTTCGTGCTAGATTGCTTGGATTATTCTCTATTGATCACATGGCTCATCTTGATCATTGTTTTTGAGTTTTGTTCTCAGATAAGGCATCTCAACATATTTTTTTTTCATTTTTTATTATATTGTCCCCACTCTCTAATTCATATATTTTTTATTTATCAAAATAAAAAATATTTTTAAGATATATATATATATATATATATATATATATTAAATTAAACATTTTTTTTTACAATGAGTGTTAATTTATTTTTATTTTACGTTTATATTTTTAAATTATTTAAAATATTAAAATATAAATATAATAGACTTACTCATGGCATCCTGCGGGCATTGATCTAGTAAATAAAACTGCAATAAAATTATTGTTTTTATGGTTCATTCACTATTTAAAATACTATTTATCCACATTTATTTCACTATTCAAACACATTCAAAAACATTATTTCTTTTTCTATACAAGTGGCATTTTTATAGTTTTCAAACATTTTTAATATATTTATAATGAAAGTTTTCCTAACATTCTACTTTGGTTCTTCTTTTTGAAATATGATTTTTTTCAATCTGTAAAATATTTTTTGTTTGGTTTTCCTCATTCTTTTTTGTTTCATTTTTATCACTTTGGTTTTTTTTTTCTATAATTTTTTTAATAAAAGATTTTAAGACAAAAAAATGTTTAAAAAACATTACAAAATAATATTTTAGCTAAGAATCCATTGGTTTTAACATTCTTTATATTAAATAATTTTATAAAAAATTATGAAAAATATAAAGAATAATCAATCAAATATAAATTTTAATGTATCTTGTTAGATGCACAATATAACACGAGATATTAAAACGAAATAATTTTTATGTATTTTGTCCGACTCGCAACGTAGCTCGTGTAAAAAAAAATAGTAATGACTAAAAGGTAAAAGAGTTGTGAATGTTAAAGATATTTCTATTAATAGGTAAAATATAATTTCTCTCCTTGAAACTTATGTGTTTTCTTAATTTTATTTATTTCAATTAGATGTTATATTTTTTATTTTTGTTTGATCCTGTGTTGATTTCAATTTTATTTTCAAAATTTATGAAATATTTTCTAATATTAAATACTAGAAGAAGCATGGTTTTTGTTTAATTTGGACAGTCTATTGTCAAATATTTGTCCTACATGCATATTATTTCAGATATTTCTGATGTGTGAAAAAAGATAAGGAAAATAGAAGGATAAAACAACTTTAAATGGAGGTGGTAACGCAATTAATCTGTCGGTCATTATATAATATAATGAATTTCCAGTTAATTTTTATAATTAACTAATAATTTAAAAAGGAAAATGATCATTTATTGGTTTAATAGATAAGTATTGGTTTAATTAACTTAAACCGACAAGTAAGAATATAAAAAAAATGAAAATGTTTGTCTTTTTTGCAGTAATAATGGAAAATATTACAAAGTATAAGAAAACACCAATATTTAAAATATAAAATATTGAGGTTTTTACTAACTACTAAATTTTTGAAGAACTCCAATACGTAATATAAAGGAAAATGATTTATGTAAAAAAAAATTGCAAGTAAAATAGAAAATGGTAATTAACTAATAATTTATAATAAAATAAAAAAAACACTAATAAGTTGATCGGAAGTGAAAAGGGTAGTTATTCTAGCAATTTATGGAAAGAGTGTTTGTAATATTTGTCTATATCTATAGCTTCACTTTATTACTGATCGAGATGCTAAATTTTTCTCCAACAAAAAATAAGAGTAAAAAAAGAGCATCTTTGTCTTTCTCCCCATCCTACGCTAGAGTCCAATCCATTTGAAGAGTGAAGATAGAATTTTCCATTAAAATATATGACAAAATAGAGGAGTGGAGTAGGCATATTAATTAGTTAATCTCTGATGATTCGTTAAATCCTCTAACTACTAAATTATATTTTTAATTAATTGGGTTTAATTAAACAGTTGTGTAACAGTTGATTATCTGGATGCCTTTCTGCAATGATTGAAATCTCCACTCATATAAAGCCTGTCTCTTAAAAGTAATTATTTCCAATGATAAACATCCCGAGTGGGTTTCAACATCCTAATTAGTGGATTTAACAGTTCATTAGAAGTTGTATATGTTATTAATTAATTAGGTTTTGCGTCAACAAATATAAACAACATGTATACCAATGGGAAAAGGCCACCTGCTTTCATTTCCTATAATTAGTATTAAAACCTGGTGAAAGTGAGAATTAAATTAAGTGCTTTTAAATTTTTTAGTGAATGGGTGGCACTTCCAACATTAGCATTTATTATGTATCACCTAGAACTTTACATAGATTTTGTTTAGTGTTTTACACTACATATAAAGTCAATGTTTGGATTCCTTGTTAATTTTGAAGTTTGGACGGTCATGTTTGTATAATCATTCATATAGGTTCTGTTGAAAATGGAAATGGGAGGTTTGTAATATGATTTAGCTTTTTTTTTTTTTCCTTCTTCTTTTGTATTCTCTTCTTTTGTATTTTTTCCGTAAATATAATCAAATATATATGAATTGAAATGACTAAATATAACTCGTATTTGCCAGCAATTAATTTGCAAGGTTCCCTCTGCTTACAGCATCTACGTTCTTGAGCCTTTGGGGAAAAAAAAAAAGAAATTGTGTAAAAATTTATTAGCTTGGTAAGGTTTTCCATGATTTTAAAATCATAAAGACATTGAAAAGTGACAAAAAATACGTTGAACTGCATGGATGCCATGATCTGGCGATGGATTAAGATTTGGAATCTGCAGTAAGTGTCGTTTCTGTGCCTTTTGGGCACTAATAAAAACACATTCCTTACCAACAAAATTATTATCAAATCCGTAAGCACAATGGTCAAACTAGCTACAGGGCAATACAATCTTCTTAGTGGGATTATCTCATTCCCCACAACTTCCATTAAATGGATACATCATATTGTCTTGCATAAACTAATAACACCATTAATATTGGAAAGTAACGTTATTCCAACATTTTTCCCTACCCTTACCTAATTGTCACTTGCTGCAATTTGAATGCTTTAAATGTGGTTAATTATATGAAAGCTTACTCCAAATCCATAATTTTGATCGGTTAAAACGCAATAGTCAATACACACAAAAAATAAAAAACATATATAGAGTTTATAAAACTAGTATAATTAAGAATATAATACCATATACTCAAGTAAACATAGCTAGGGGTTGTGTATTCGATAGTTTTTTAATAAAATCAATTTGAGTTTTAATACTTTTAATTTATTTAATTATTATATAATTAAATTAAAAAAAACTATCTTTTATAGTACAGTAAAAAAGCTATATAAGTCTTTTTATCTCTCCATGATATATATATATATATATATATATATATATATATATATATATATTATTCATGGAGAGATATAACACCTTCGATTACATCCAAAATAATTAGACCAAAGGAACTTGGATATAAAAAAGCAAGCCCGACATTTGACAAAGCGAGAGAAATTTTATAATACATAAGGTGTAACTAGTGATATGTACGGTAGTTATTTCATGAACCTACTTTAAAAAAAGAGATAAATAAAAAAAATAAAAGAGAGAAAATTAAAATAAAATTGAGCAAACATAATAATTTTTTTTATCACCTTTAATGAATCAAGATATAATTCAATGTTTCTATCTATCTCCTCAAAATAAATTTATAGATTAATTACTGTATATACTACTAATTAATCTTATGTATTATAAAATTCCTCGACAAAGCAAAAATTTCACGGCCTTTTGACATAGCAATAGCAGAAGCGGCCACATGATATCAATTTTTTTTTTTTTCAAGGGAAGAACCTAGCATTAACTTACAACTGAGTCTATGTTTGATGCTTCCTTTCGTTGAGTACTTCTTCTTTTTTTCTTTTATTCATAGGAGGCATATGAACTTATTAGGCTACATGATAAAGATAATCCCTCCCTCTTGTATAATAATAATAAAATTTTGAATTATCAATATTCTCGAATCTTATTTTACTAAAAAAGTTAACTGAGTATACAATCATTAGATTAGGTCTGTTTGTGTAATACTGCTCCGTTTTAAGGTGTTCATAGAAAATCATTGTTGACTTCACTTTAATTTCTTTCCTGCAAAAATGTAGTGAAACCCAGAATTATTTGCATTCTGACGGTTGTGTTGCTGTAATCACATTGATTTTAATAAGCAATAAAAGTTCAATTACTTTACTGGGCCCAGTTCTAAATTCAAAGAATCAAGTCTAGAAAAAGTCCAGTTTTGGTCCTTATAGAGTCCAGCAAGGTCTGGGCCTAGCAGTTTGATTCGTGTTGGGCCATTTACGTATTCTTGTTTGTGATGAGTCCTCATATTCAGCTCCTGGATTAGTATTAGTAAAGGGTATAAAAGTTCTTTTCATCAAGGACAAATTAAATGATATTTATTTACATTACGTATTTGCTTTATTTAAACAAAACAAAACAAAAATCATATAACATTACATTTTTTTTATTTCGTTTTTTTAAAATTTTGTAAATTATTATTAAAATATTATAATTAATTTATTTTTTCATTTCTTACAAGAAAATTTATCTAATAATTATCCAATACAGATAATCATAATTATAAAGATAAAAAAATAATTAAATTAATATTATAAATATTTTTATTAAAAAAATATTTACCCTGATATCATATTTTCAAAAAATAATTAAAAAAAAACTATTTTTACTAAACTCTGACCTTTTTTCCTTCCAAAAAGATGGATTGAATTCTGCTTTAAAAAGAAAAAAGAAAAAAAAGCAAGAGGTGGGTAAATTCAAGAGTATTTGATTTATTGGGAATTTAAATTTTAAAATTTTGGTTAACATAATTTCCATGTTATTATTACTTTTTTTTTCTATAGGAGGCCCAACACAAATTAATGTGTGTATATATATGTATATATATCAGTTTAGTAACAGGAAAGATTTAATTAGAAACGTATTTTGGTGGGCTGCTATTCCCTTATTTCGTGCCCCGTTAGCATCCAAGAACCAAAAATATGAATTCACCGACTACGTACATAAATCCTCGTCCTTTTAAGTGATTTTCGGTAATCGGGAATAAAGTGATAAGAATGAAAATACAGAAATCGGAATGAAAATTAAGGAATCGAAATGGTATTTATATTCCAATACTATATTTGGAATACTAATAAGGAATCAGAATGTAATTTAAATTTTTTAATATATGATTTTGTATACAAATATAAATAATAATTAAAAAATAATTTTATTAAACTATAATAGTTATAAAAATAATAAAGGTGATGGTAGTGATTGTGGTGGTTCTATTGATGGTGGTGGTGGTTGTGATGATGTTAGTAGTGATGGTGGTGGTGATGGTGATGATGGTAGTTATGATGATGGTGATGGTGGTGGTCGTAATGACAGGTGGTGGTGGTGGTGGTGGTTGTGGTTATTGTAATGGTGGTGGTGGTGGTGGTGATGGTGGAAAAAGTAGTTAATAGATAATAAATAAATAAAATATATTATTATTTTGAAAAAAAATTATTCCCATTTCTTGTTTTTTATTCCCATATTTTATGTGAGAATGAAGTTGTGTGTAAATTTTCATTCCCATTCCTACTCTTCATTCCCATTCCCACTTCATTTCTTTTAACCAAACAACTACAATGTGGGAATAAAACTTTCATTCTCATTCACACCACTCTATTCCCGATTACCAAACAGCACCTTAGGATCAGGAATCCAGACTCACTACTCTATATAATAAGTCATGAAAAGGGAAAAAAGAAAACGGTTTTATCTTGTGAGTATCATGTGTTCTTCAAGAAGCATGAAGAGAAAGGCTATTGATTTAGTAGGGGGAATTTGTGGGTGAGAGGTCCATTAGTTGGACAGGGAAGTTGTGGGACAGTTCATATGGGAATATCAAAGGATTCCACCGTTTTACCAACTATTATGGCAGTGAAGTCGGCAAATATGTCTGATGCACGTTCGCTTAAAAGGGAGAGAAAGATTCTTAGCAAACTTGAAGGTTGTCCTAGTGTGATACAATGTTACGGAGAAGACATTACCCTGGATGAAGATGGGAAGACAGTTTATAATCTGTTGTTGGAATTTGCTTATGGTGGTACTTTAACTGATCTTATTGACAAAAGTGGAGGCTGTGGATTACCTGAACCTCAAGTAAGGTTCTATACAAGATGCATTCTTGAAGGGCTTTCAAAAGTTCATGAGTTTGGTTATGTTCATTGTGACCTAAAACCTGACAACATTTTGTTGGATAAAGCTGGCTTGCTTGGTGCTACTAACAATGTGGCAAAAATTTGTGATTTTGGAATGGCAAAGAAGGCAAATAAAAGGACTTCTTTAAGAGGAAGTCCAATGTATGTGTCACCTGAAATACTGAACTTCGGTAGCCAAGAATCAGCATCCGATATTTGGGCACTTGGCTGCGTAGTGCTTAAGATGCTGACAGGGAAGCCCCCGTGGATTCTAGAGACTGATTTAAAGAAGGATCCTGATTTAGTTATGAGGGACCTTTTCTCTAGGATTGGTTCCACACATGAATTGCCGGTTATTCCTAGCAACATATCAGAGGAAAGTAAGGATTTCCTCAGATGTTGCTTCCCCAAGAGTCCTGCGCTGAGATCGACAGCAAGTGAGCTCCTGAATCACAAATTTGTGATGGCTTTTGAAGAAGAAGGAGAGAAGAAGGGTAGAGAAAGAGAGGAGGTCTTGGATCCTGAAGGGATCAATACACCACTGTCTTCAACTTACGAGGAGGACAGCTTTATATCTCTGAAGGATTCATCATCCGCTTCCCCTTCAGAAGGTGTTTCCAGCTCCAGCCCTGTTCCTGATGTCTTTCCAATATTTACAAACACATCAGTTAAACAAGCTGCGGTTTAGATCGCTCAACTTTTTTTTTTTTTCAACGTTAAATTTAATGTCTGTGTTCTAATTGTTCATGAGAGTTTCAGTATTGTACGTTTTAGTTCGGATGCATTTCAATCAATCAATAAAATTATTGATGATTTGTTCTTAAGCTTTTTCTTCTTATTCTAATAATTTCCTTCTGCTGCATTTACACATTCTTTTCTGCCATTTTATTGTCTGCAACAAACTCTATTATTTCACTTGCTGGCAATAATGGCAATAATGAGAAAAAGTTAAAGCACAAAACAACTGAACAGATAAGTAATGCTATGGTTAGAATGTAGTATTGGTTACTTGAAATTGATTGTTAGGTTAATAGAGCTAAAGATTACAAAGGCAGTGCCAGGGGTACTTCTACACTCAGCTTCAGCATTGGTATTATGTGCAATTGTTATCCATTAAAACTTACAAGTCCATACATTCGATCATTTGGTTGTCTCTTCCCAGTTCTTGCTTTTCCCTTTGTTTTCCACTGTAATGCTTCAACCCCATGGTTTCTTACCATTCTGTTTTCTAGTTATGAGTATATCGTCATCATGCAAGTTGTTTTTCCATTTTTTTTTTTTATAGTGGTAATGGTCGAAATCTTTATGTTTCTTGATGCCTTAGCTGAAGTTGAGGAATAGAAAGTGCCAGGAATTAGCCGCAGCTGACAATGGTCCTCCTCCTACCAAAAATGTCATTATGAACGTTCAACAAATATAGAAACCGTACTGAAACGTCTAAAGTTCTGGAAAGTGATGATTATTAGGAAATAAAGATTTGATAACAGATAACTGAAAATGTAGACAAATTGAGTCTTTGGAGTCGTTGACAGGGACCTGGTAAACAATGATGAAGAGGACAAGGACAAGGTTATGATAAGCTTATTATGATTCTGGGAGAACTTATAAAGATTGGATTCTGTATCTGTTGTCATGCCATTTTTATGAGATTTCACCGACTCTCTAGCCCCTTGGAACATTAGCTGATATTATTTATATATCAACTGTATCCTAAATGTCTGTAATTACTGCCATGTCACTTCTGGTTGTACTGCAAAAAGATTCTAGAACAAAAATAAAACCCGTCATGGCAGTTGGAAAGATTCAAAAAATAGGTACACATGGTACGAAAAACCCCATTTCCAAATGAAACTAGCATTTAAGGACAGGATGCACTTATTCTAGCAGGGAAGGCTGTTCGAAGAACAAATACTGTTGTTATTCTGCTATTCGAAATAAAGTTGAAACAAAGAGGGAAGTGGGGATAGATTAAGCAACTTCAACGCATATATATAGTAGTAGTCAAGTATTGACAATCTTCAAGGGAATATCTCAACGACCAAGTTGATTGTAACTAAGTTATTAAAAAGAACTGCAAAAGCAAGGGAAAGAATCATAATATCTGAGACTGACCACCGCAAAACCCAAAAATCCAAAGGCAAAGTTTGAGCTTTAGGCTTTCCTGACAGATATTCCTTAGTTCTCTATGGATTTAAATGGTAATGGATCATGATTTTGGTTTATTCTGGAGTTAGAGTGGAGGATATGAAACTCCTATTTCCAAGAATCTGGGTAGCTTTGGGTGAACTTTGTTGTAATGTGGAAGATCCGAGTCTTATTGCATCTGTTACTTCAAACTGCAGCTAGTAAGACTATGATTATTTAGCTTAAGGGCATGAAAAGTTGAATTATGCTCTAGGATGTTGAATTCACCAGTTACCTGCATATCCTAGACACAAATACAGCTTTTCACCCTTAACATTCAAACAATAGTAAGATGCTACTAATACGAATGGATCAAGGATCATAAGCTGGAAAAAGGTGTAATAGCAACTCTAAATTAAAAATAATAATACTCAATGAAAGGAATTATCAAACAGTAACAAACATAGTTCTTCTATTTATATTGCTAACTAAAATCAATGAATCATCGATTACAAGAACAAAATTATCTTGCAATCTACTGCAATATGCAGAAAGAATGGAAGAATTCTCAACAAAGAATTTCAACCTAGACCTATTGGACTGAAAACTCTGTAATTACTTCACTCCTATGCACCAGCAGGTATAGTGCAGCTTGGTGGATACTGTTCCACTGGGTTTGCTTCAACCCGTGATGCATGCTTCATTGCATCAACATCACTGGCAATACCCTCTTCATCATCAGACCAAGGAGAGAAACACGAACCATCATCTGATGAGAAGCTCCATTCTTCATAAAATGGGGAACCACTAAATTCATCATCTGTCCCGCATAATGTGACTGTCCATTCCACCCTTTCTGCATCCAAAGTCTCCACAAAGTCACCACCATCTAAAGCCACTCCTGACATGAAAGGTTCATCCAGCAACATCTCAGCAGTAAACCTGAACATAGGATTGGCCACAAAACACCTTTTCAAGAAATCTTTTGCATCCTTCGAAATATGAGAAGGAATTTTAGGCGATTCATAGCCATCACCGATCTTTCTCAGAAGTTCTTCAGTAGTAACATCCGGTTTCAAATCCCAAGCTGGCTTCCCAGTAAGCATCTCAAGAACAACACATCCAAGAGCCCATATGTCACAAGGAGGCTCCTGCACATGATTTCCCACAGTCTCTGGTGCCATGTACAAAGCAGTGCCTCTTAAATAAGGGTCAATTTTCCTTTTCTTGTTCCTCGTCTCAGATTTCTTTGCCAACCCAAAATCCCCAATCTTTGGCAAAAATTCACCTGCCTTCGTATTACTGGAAACAAGCAGTATATTCTCAGGCTTGAGATCACAATGCACATAGCCATGACTATGAATATAATAAATCCCTTCAAGAATAGACCTAGTGTATCTCTTCACATCCAATTCAGACAAACCAACACCATCAGATTTCTTGATAAGACCAGCTAAGGTCCCTCCTGATCCATACTCTAACAACACATTATAAAACATCTCACCATCTTCATTGCTAGTAGTTTCTTCACCAAAACACTTGATAATAAAAGGACAGCCATTGAGACAGTTAAATACCTCTTTCTCCTTTTGAAGCGAACAAGAAGCAGAGACCTCAGCGGACTTGACGGCCATAACTGGAGGATAATAGCCATTACTTGATTTTTTATTCTTTAAACTTGCTAAATAAACTGATCCAAACCCTCCTTTGCCAATTAATGGCCCTCTTGACCATGCCACTCCACCATTGTTATTGCTGTACTTCATGCTCTCTTCTTCTTCTTCTATATGCTTTGCGTTTCTCTTCATTGCAAGCAGCTTCCCTTTTTCTTTCCCTGTTTTCTAAGCTCAACGCAAGTGAATTGTCAACAAAATGCCTCTTTAGGGTTGTCGATATATAAAGAAAGCGAGTTAGAAAACCTTAACGCGTTTGGGGTTTGGATTTTCACCAATTCTAAATTGTTTATGTTCAATTTGCTAACGAAACCTTACTGTTTTCGGATTGTTACGTCGCTATTCATTGTCGAAAGGTTTAAATTGGGTTTTTTTTTGGCAGCTTTTGTCCCTCAACTATTAAGAATATGACACATTGGGTATTGAATTATCATTTTTTTCATCTGGGAGCATACTTTCTCCATCTGCCATTCTGCCTCAATTTGATTTCACTAATTACAAAATTTTTGGGTGTCGGAAAGTATTATTTTATTTTTAATGATGTTTTTTTAGCCTCCTTTCCTCGTTAAGTTTAGGAGCATTTCGACTTACTTTCTATTTGTTGTAATTTTGTGAACATTTAACGTGAAAAAAAAGGAGAAAAAATATTTTCAGACTTTGAAATTATGTTTGAAAATAGTATGGATTTTGATTAATATTTGTGAAATTTTCAATTCAAACTGTCAAAAAAAAAAAAACACAAATTTTTAGAGGATATGGTTAATGGATTTGACCCGTAAACCTAATAGTAAAATCAAACAAAAGCAAATAAAAAAACGTTTATTTTGGAAATTATAATTCAAGAATTTGATTAAGGGATATACTAATACCAATTTTCAATGAGCCATAACCGATAATTTAAGATAACAAAAATGTTTAAAATACATAAAATATCCAACCATAGAAACCTAGCTATTATATTTATTATGTATTGATTTTTTTTTTTTTGCAATCTATATAGTAGGGTCAGCTTTAGTTATTAGTAGTTAGCGGAAAGCATCGCATTACTAGAAAAAGGACTTCATTGATCACCATAGAAAGTTGAGGAGCTAACTATTGCCTAATCTTATTTCTGGTATTTTTTAGTATAGAGAGTCTAACCGGCAGCCTCTATGCATGTGCGACTGAGACCGGTAGCCTCTCGTTTTTAAGTTTTGTCCTTAATTACTAGTATGTTACTTTTCACGAGTAAATTATACCCTAGTCCTTCATGCTTTGAAAAATAAATTAATTAATTTTTCAGTTTCAAAAATTAATTATTTAATCTTTTTAACTAGTGTTGATCACAATTAATTTTATATTTTTTTTATTTTACAAAATATCTTATTTTCTCATCAATATTTTCATATTTTTAATTATTTTTATTGCTTTTTTATTTCTTAAAACAAAAAAATCAAATAAATTAAAGAATATCAAAAGGACTAAATAATTAATTTTTAAACCTAGAGGAACTAATTAATCATTTTCTCGAAGTGGGAGGGACTAATTTATAATTTACTCTACTTTTCATAGGTTTTAACAATTTTTCAGATGCTGGACATAAAATAGTGAACTTATGTAACTAGCTTCTAAACAAGGGAACAATTAAAATGTTCAAAAGTGCCTATCTAGGGTAAAAAAAAAAAAAAAAAAGTTTCAAAAGTGGAAACATTACAAATTACTTTTAATGTTATAAATGTCAAGGCCATAATTAATTTTCAAGATTAGTTTGTAATTATTAAGAAATCTACTACTAATATAGTATATTATTTTGATGGCTAGTTTAAAGATAGTATAGTATAATGCTGTGATTCCAAACAACTTGAAATCTAATCATGCCAGTATACTCGATTTGAATTCTAACTCAACTTGAGCTATCAATATTTCTCTAGGGTTCAAACTTGTTTATTTTTAATCATGGTTGATGTTCCAGCATCTTGGTAACTTGTCCACTAGCCAAGTGGTCAAGGTTGGCTACTTTCCTTCTCGAGGACTTGAAACAATCAAACATCGAATTAGATATTTCCCCTACGTATCTGAAATAAACTCTTATTTTGCCAAGTCAGATTTCAATGCTAGCTGACACTTACGACTCCAAGCAAGCACGCAGAAATTCATCCTCACAGTATCAATTTTTTTGCATTTCTTTTTGTTTGTGCAATAGAAGAACTGCTTCGACAATTAATGGGCCTAGCTCAAAGTTCAAAAGTTGTCAAGCCTAGTCAAGGATCCAGTTTTGGTCCAGATAGAGACACCCAGCGAGGTCAGGGCCTAAAAGGTTTATTCTTGTTTGTCCAGCAAAATGCTACTATAGGATAAACTGTTTGGAGCTCCAACCATGGAGCCCTTGAGCCTAAGATTGGAGGATAGGGTAAAGGCCTAAAGGGCGGCAAATTTACAGTATCCCCACCCAAGTTAGGTTGCAAAATAAAGTGACTGCTCTGTCAACCTTTTATGTTCTTCAAAAATGCTTCGTAATTCTGATCATGGTTAGCTTTCGGTTGTGAGTGGAGTGCGTGGTAAGTGCATCTGTTTTCTTTCTTTCTTTTTTTCTTGTGGTTTTTATGACAAAATTGAAACTTTGTGTGATACCGTAAGGACATGGATTGAAATAGAAATCAGTGCAAAAGGTACAACAAGAAAAAACCATATATATATATATATATATAGAGAGAGAGAGTTTCATCTAATAACTTAATTTTTTTAGTGAGATAATATTAATCTTAATGACCGATTAATGATCAAATGATCGTAAAGTCAAATCCTATCATCTCATTTTATTTTTTAATTAATTAAACATGAAATAATAACCAAGCTTAAAATCTTTCTAAATAAGATGATCCTTTGATATACGTGTGCGTGTGATGTAAGCAAGATCGTGGATATATATGTGGTGCGTCTGATGGAAGCAAGACCATGGAGTTCAATTCATCACGACCGACGTACATGAGATCCAGTCTCTGCTATCATAACTTTAAGCATAGCTTAAAGCATATAAAAGGATCAAACTTGACAAAATAGAGAAAGTTGGACCGCCTGTATTCAAGAAGAAAAGGCACATATCAGCTAGGCCACTGGACAGACTAGCTAGGCAAAGGCCTAACAGAATCCCAAAAATGCTTGGACGCACTAACATTGGCACCATCTACTTGAAGAAGAGGTGCATCAGCCATGCAGATGTAACCCAAAGAAACTGAAATACAAAATCGGAAGGTTGTTCACTTCAAACAAAGACCAAAGAGAACATTTTGGATATGATCAGAATGCGGATGGAGTTGATGATAACAAGAATGGTGCTATTTTCTGGTAGGTCAGCTAATGATGATGTGTTTATTATCAAATGAAATTGATGACCAGTCTCGCAATTTTCTGTTTCATGATTCTGCCTTTCTTAATAAAGAGAAATTAGGGAAATCGATCGAGAAGGTGGTAGTGGTTCAAGGCAGAATCTATGAGAGTGGACCTTCAAATTGTGCAAATAAGACCGAAAGGTCTGAAGATTTAGTTTATATTACGTCAAGCCAATCTCTAATCCCCAAGTTTTGTAACAATTAGTTTACTTTCTTTTTCAAATATAGGGTCATAACCCAGCCTGTCTTTACATTACGAGACGAGTAGAAAATTTAATTTTATATTCAAAAATTACCTAATTATATTTTTTGTATTTTTTTCGATCAAATCATTAGAAAAAATCACATGATTTATATATAACTATTTTTTTTTAAAAAAAAATACCTCTCAATTGAACTTGCGTGAGTCACATAACTTTTTTTTAAAAAAAATATACATATTTTTAGAGCAATCGCAGGTGCTATTGTAGATAAGATTCTGATTCTAATGAATAACGATGTGAGCTATCATAAATATGTAAATTTATAATCTTTTGCTTGTTTTTTCTTTCTGTTCTTGGTTTTTTCTTTGATTCCTTTTTTTTTTTTGGGCCAAAGGTTTAGTTTTCCTTTTTTAACCTTGAGAGGTTAAAAAATTGAAATTCAAAAAAAAAAAAAAAAAACTAGTAACCAAATGGGCGCCACGTCGGGCTATCACCCATATGGAATAACAGTGGCTGTGACCCAATCATCTCTCTTGTTAAAAAAGCAATTTGCTAAGCAGGAGTGCAGGAGGTGCCTAATTTAATGATAAGAGTTCAAAAAGCTTTCGAGTGGATCCGAATTTGGATTGCCACAAACTTCTTCCCTAGAGACGGTGGGACGGTCCTAAAAGATATTGACATTCCAAGCCTAGTTGAGTCTTGTAATTCCTCCATTTATGATGATGACATCAACAACGACAGCCAAAAACAGCAGACGAAGCAGCACTAGCTAAGAATAGCAATCAACTTCTCTTTTTTCTTTCCAAGTAAATAAACTTTAGTTAAAACTAAGAAAATAATACCTCGTCATCAAATAACTGCACATATAGTACTACAGAATCACCGTGGGTGTTTTTTTTCTTCTGCTCTTCCCATGATCCAGACAACCTGACTTCAATCATCAGTAGAACATAACTAGTTTGATCTTCCTAAATCCATTCTGTGCAGCCGCAGCCAATGCAAAAGGTGAATAAAATCCAAGCTAAAACCATCCAAGGATGCCCAAGAAATATTGGGTGTTCCTATGCCATGAAAACGAAGAAGACTCATCCCAGCCGTCTTCGATTGATATGACTCACGATTAGCATCTTGTTCCAAAAGGATAAGCTACAGACAGTGGTCATAGTCATTTGCACTAAAAGAACACTATAAATGTCAACTACATTCTTCTACGAACAAGGCTCACTCATAGAACACCAAAAAGTCAACTGCAGTACCAGAATGATACACATCTTGCATCCACCATGAACAGGGCAAAGAAATGTCAATATCAACCTCTTTGTGTGCGTATCACATGCATATGCAACCGTACGGGCAAAGCAAAGCTTGTTCCAACAGCAAAGGTTGAAAATGCGCATGCCCTGCGTAATGAAGAAAATGATCAGCCAATCTGTTCTGTTGTCCTTAATCCTTCCAATGAATATTCATTTGGGCTTAGTTGAAAGTCTACTCATCATCAGGAAAGAGGTAAATTAGTTTTCTAGTCCATCCACAAAATCATAGCTTGCATTGAATTTCTTTTTTTGCTTTTTCGTGAAAAATCTATCATCAATTCAACTGTACCACTCTTTCATTCTATCAACCGCATTTATACCTCTCTCTTAAAAGTTCCAAGATTTTTTTTTGCTGACAGTAATTCATTAGTATGAAGCAGGATGAAAGTGTGAAGAGCAAAGGTCCTCATAAAAGAAACATTATTGGACGCTTCCAACACAAAAAAAAATGATCCCCATCCGAACATTTCTGCTGCTGCTCCAGCATTTATTTCTAATGTCTCCTTTTGCAGCCTCAGGTTCTCGCCACCATCGTAACCATTCCTTGCTTGCCGACGAAGCTGTTCTTCTAGCATTCAAAAAGACCATAGTTTTTGATCCAAAGTCCAAGCTAGCTAGCTGGACTGAGGCCGGAGATGTTTGCAGCTTCACAGGAGTCAGATGTAGCAAACATAATCACAGTGTGGTAGGACTCAACCTTTCCCGAAGTGAACTCACTGGGCCACTGTCACCTATCATTTCAAATCTCAGCAGGCTTCGACATCTGAGTCTTGATGAGAATCACTTTTATGGGATTATTCCTCCAGAAATCTCTGCTCTTCAGCATCTGCATTCTCTCCGGCTAGACAGCAACAATCTAAATGGCTCGTTTCCAGAATTTCTTGCCTTTCTTCCCAGCCTCACTGTGCTAGGTCTCAGTGAAAACCATTTGATGGGCACACTTCCACCTTCCTTATTCTCTAACTGCACTTCATTAGCAAATATAGACCTGTCCCATAACTTCCTCACAGGAAACATTCCGAAAGAGATTGGAAATTGTCCAGATCTCTGGAACCTCAATCTGTACAACAATCAATTTACAGGAGAACTTCCTGCATCTTTAGCCAACAATTCAGCACTATATAATATAGATGTGGAGTACAACGATCTTACTGGAGAATTGCCTGCAAATATCATAGGGAAACTATTTTCAGTTGTCTTACTCCATTTCTCATATAATAAGATGGTCAGCCATGATCACAACACCAACCTCGAGCCATTCTTCACAGCACTTGCAAATTGTACCGAATTAGAGGAGTTGGAATTGGCTGGTATGTCCCTTGGAGGAAGATTGCCCAGTTCCATTGGCCGACTTAGTGTCAATCTAAGTAGTCTGTTATTGCAAGAAAACAGGATCTTTGGAACGATTCCTCCAGATATAACACATCTTTCCAGTCTCACGTTGCTGAACTTGACGTCCAATTCTCTAAATGGAACCATTCCAGCCGATATCAACCGGATGTCTTCCTTAGAGCAGCTTTTCTTATCTCACAACTTATTAACTGGAGCAATTCCAGCAGCATTAGGTCAGCTCCCTCATCTTGGTCTGCTTGACCTGTCAAACAATCAATTCTCTGGTGAAATCCCTGCAAGTCTGGGAAATTTGGTTCGATTGAATTTTATGTTTCTCAACAACAACCTCCTTTCGGGAACTATTCCTCCAACACTAGGGAAGTGCACTGATTTGTCCATGCTGGACTTGTCCTATAACAGATTGACAGGAAGCATCCCTCCAGAAATATCAGGTATACGCGAGATCCGAAGATATCTAAATCTTTCACACAATCATCTTGATGGTCCATTACCTATAGAACTCAGTAAGTTGGAAAATGTTGAAGAGATAGATGTTTCATCAAACAACCTCAGTGGAAGCATCTTCTTTCAGATATCAAGCTGCATCGCAGTGAAGCTGATAAATTTCGCACATAATTCTATTCAAGGGCACCTTCCTGATTCCATTGGTGATCTAAAGAACCTTGAATCCTTTGATGTTTCAGGAAACCACTTATCTGGAGGGATCCCAACAAAACTCAACAAAATTCAAAGCCTCAGTTTCCTAAATCTTTCTTTCAATGACTTTGCAGGAGTGATACCCTCTGGCGGTGTCTTCAATTCTGTCACAGATAAGTCATTCTTAGGCAATCGGCATCTTTGTGGCACAGTTCCTGGCATGCCCAAATGCTCTCAGAAGAGGCATTGGTTTCGCTCACGTATGTTCTTGATTGTATTTGTACTAGTCACATTTGTATCAGCTTTCTTAACAACGATATGTTGCGTGATTGGAATCCGCCACATTAAGGCAATGGTTTCCTCTGGACGCTCTACGGATACAGAGCTGGCAAGAAAACCAAAAACTCCAGAACTGATCCACAATTTTCCAAGAATTACATATAGAGAACTCTCTGAAGCCACAGAAGGGTTTGATGAGCACAGACTAGTTGGGACAGGTAGCTATGGACGTGTCTATAAGGGACTTCTTCTGGATGGGACAGCCATAGCCGTAAAGGTATTGCAATTTCAGTCTGGGAATTCAACCAAGAGTTTTAACAGAGAATGCCAAGTTTTGAAGAGGATAAGGCACAGAAATCTGATAAGGATCATAACAGCATGCAGTCTTCCAGATTTCAAGGCTCTTGTTCTTCCATACATGGCAAATGGAAGCTTGGATAGCCGTCTATATCCACATTCAGAGACAGGTTTGGGTTCAGGCAGTTCCGATTTGACTCTCCTCCAGAGGGTTAGCATTTGCAGTGACATAGCTGAAGGCATGGCCTATCTGCATCACCACTCTCCTGTTAAAGTCATCCATTGCGATCTAAAGCCGAGTAACGTTCTTCTCAATGATGACATGACAGCTCTGGTTTCTGATTTTGGTACAGCAAGGTTAGTTATGACAGTTGCGGGTGGAAATTGTGGGGTGGCTGAGAACATGGGAAACTGTACAGCAAATTTGTTATGCGGATCAATCGGTTACATCGCACCAGGTACAAATTTCTTCATTGCTTCTGCTTATAGAAATCCAATAAAAGGATTCTCTAAGACTTCATTTAATACTGAGCTTGGAAATGGCAAAAGCATCACTATTCATGCTTAAATGCCTAACAGAGACATCACGTTCATCTAAAATAAAGGGAACCAGCAGTTCCCGTCTTCATTATCGTTTTTTTAAGTCATTTTCCAGAATTCAGGCAGTTTAAAAATACTTTATCCAGCCATGTTATGCATAAAGAGAACAACAAAATAACAAAGGCAATGAAAACAGTAATAGTATTTCCAAACTTAGTTTTAATCAAATCTACACAAACAGGACTTAACATCTAACCCTAGCCACGCTAGCATTGCGGCTTTTGTGCCAAAAACAATCTAGTCAATCAGCATGTACATTTACTCTAGTTCTAAATTTAGTTTTGAATCACAAAATGCTTCCATTACTTCACACTAATAGTAAACACATAATAAATCACTTTGAATTTTTATAATGTAGAGTATGGGTGTGGATCAAACACTTCTACAAAAGGAGATGTTTACAGCTTTGGAGTTCTAGTTCTTGAGATGGTGACTAGAAAAAGGCCAACGGATGACATGTTTGTTGGTGGGCTAAACCTACAAAGATGGGTCAAGACTCACTACCATGGTAGATTGGAGAAAGTGGTAGACTCTTCCTTAATGAGAGCTTCAGGAGATCAATTCCCTGAAGTGAAAAGGATGTGGGAAGTTGCAATTGGAGAATTAGTTGAGCTGGGTATTCTTTGCACTCAGGAGTCTCCCTCTACTAGGCCTACAATGCTTGATGCTGCTGATGACTTGAATAGACTAAAGAGGTATCTTAGTGACGACACAACTGCCACATTTGCTTCCTCTCTAGGAATTTCATCATCCACTCTCGGAAATGACTAACTCCGTCCCTATTTTATGTACATGCACTGTAATGCCTCTGGTTTAGTATTATGTTAACCTTTTAAAAAATTAGGCTAAAAACCACCAGCAAATCTCTCTTCTTCTCTCCAGACAATAAGGTAAATATCAAACATAATATCAAAAGGATATACATCCCCAAATCCCAAATGTCAAGAACTTGAGCCGAACCATACACAACCAGAAGAGAATGCCTAGCTGTTATGCCATCAATTATGCCTACACGCAATTCTTTCACACAAGTAATGCCATCAATTACAAATTCACAATAAAATCTATGAGATCAAGCAATAATTGAAAAAATAAATATATTTAAAGCCAACAAAGAGATTTCTTTACTTTTGTTTCATTCTTTTCCTTCGTGGGGGGAGAAAGGGTAAGAAAGGAGGAACAGAGTGACATAATATCTTCCATCCCAAGTTCCAACCAGAAACAATTATGCTTTCAAACTGCGTGAAAGTACAGTGCATTTCCCACTAAGCTTATTCAATTGGTAGTTGAACTTCATCTATGCTATAAATAGGAGCAGAATCAGATGAACGTCAAGTGGGATGATGTTCCACAATAGCGACCACCATCAACCGCTTGACTTGATAAATTATTTCGAAGACCAAACCACATCGTAGTCTTTGAGGATTTGTGTGATAGATTAATCTAAACCAGCAACCCACTTGATAACAGAAGATGAATCACATGGTGCCTTATGCCCTTATTTAATTCAACAAAGAAATTCTCTCTAAATCCTTTCACAATAAGATAAACATGTCATGTCAATATCTTCTTTCACTGGACCAAATTAAACATTCTAAAGTGGGTTAGACTTGGTTGTTAAGTACAAGGAAGTACTCAACCATGATGTTTTACCCATGGTTATTATAGGCTTCCTTATTCCAAATCTTTAGATGAAACATATGTTACAGAAATGCCAGTCTACGACCCCTTTCTTGAACCTTATACTAAAGCATGTAAGAGAAAATCCCATTCCCTTTAAATAACAAGGAAACAACACTTTAAACTGCAGAAATACAGAAATTCTTACCAATAAATTGGGTTAGCAGAAGCCATTGATTAGCTGAATTGAGGCGGAAAAGTAGACATCTGAGATTTTGGGAAGGTGAAAGCAGAGCGACAGGACTTGGCCCGTGAATTTGCAGCGCTTTGAGTAAATTATAAGTCAGTCCTTGTAGTTCAACAAAAACTAATTATTTAATTCTCAATATTTAAGAAACTACATATTTAACCCTGATTTTTTATCATTGTTTTTAATTTAGTCTTTTTGTCAATTTCATGTTTTTCAATTTATTTTTAAAGAATAGAAAAAATATATATAATTAGATCAAATGGGCGAATTTGATTATGAAAGAAAGTATTTTAGGAACAACAAACTACAAAATCGGAGGAGGTCAACAATTCAACATAAGTAAAGGGACTATTTATTCATTTCTGATACTTCAGGGATTAATTAGATAGTTTTAATAAACTACTCGCACTAAGTTACAATTACCTCCAATGCTTTCTTATGCTGTTCTATTTTTTACCCTTAACAGAAGGCCCAAAACCAACAGATACTCTTCAAAAATGTCTAAATAAAGAAATATTTCTTTGTTTTGATTTCGGGGTAATTTTTTCCAAATTAAAAAAAATTATCATCTTGTTAATTTTTATGCAAGGAACACACTGTAATTAGACATCAGCGTATGTCTTGTTTCAGGCACACGATTTGCAATAGGCAATTTAACTGAATATTTTGTAACAATTTCTGTTAACAAATTTCTCCCATCAAAACCCAACAAAGAAAAGGGATAAAAAAAACAACATTAGAAGAAAAAGGAAACTCAAGCTTTTTTATTCACTAACATCAAACTGACATATCTTTTACATTAGTAGTAACATAATTTTTTCCCGTACATGTAAATCCCTCAAAACCTCAATTTAACGTAAGAAGAGCAGAGGGGCGAAACAGAACAACACCCTACTTGCCCACATAGATGCCTTCACCTCAATCAACTTCCTCAATCTTAGGTCCAGCACCAGAACCACCAGAGCTAGGCTTGCCATAGCCACCGTCTGGCATCTCAGCACCACCACCCATTGGCACATCTCCACCAGCACCTTGATACATCTTTGCAATAATTGGATTACACAAGTCCTCCAGCTCCTTCTGTTTGTCAGCAAATTCATCCAACTCTGCCAATTGGTTCCCTTCCAACCACTCAATAGTCTCCTCGATTGCTTTCTCAATCTTCTGCTTATCAGCTGGATCCAATTTCCCTGCAAACTTCTCATCCTTCACTGTATTTCTCATATTGTAAGCATAATTCTCTAATGAGTTCTTAGCTTCCACCTTCTTCTTCACCTCCTCATCCTCTGCTTTGTACCTCTCTGCTTCTTGCACCATTCTCTCAATCTCGTCTTTACTCAGTCTTCCTTTGTCATTGGTGATGGTGATCTTGTTCTTCACTCCTGCAGTCTTGTCCTCCGCAGAAACATTTAGAATGCCATTAGCATCAATGTCGAAGCATACGTTGATCTGAGGGACTCCTCTTGGGGCCGGTGGAATGCCTGTGAGCTCAAATTTACCAAGAAGGTTGTTGTCCTTCGTTCTAGCTCTTTCACCTTCATAAACCTGAATTAGCACTCCTGGCTGATTATCGGAATACGTAGAGAAGATCTGCTCCTTCTTGGTAGGAATCGTTGTGTTTCTTGGAATCAAGACCGTCATTACACCACCAGCAGTCTCAATTCCGAGGCTGAGAGGAGTGACATCAAGAAGCAGCAATTCTTGAACCTTCTCGTTTCCTTCGCCGCTCAAAATTGCAGCTTGGACAGCAGCTCCATAAGCAACAGCTTCATCAGGATTGATGCTCTTGCAAAGTTCCTTGCCATTAAAGAAATCTTGCAAGAGTTGCTGAACCTTGGGAATTCTTGTTGAACCACCAACAAGAACAACCTCGTGAACCTGACTCTTATCAATCTTGGAGTCGCGAAGACATTTCTCCACAGGTTCCATGCACTTCCGGAACAAATCCATGTTCAGTTCTTCAAACCTTGCTCTAGTAATAGTAGCATAGAAATCAATACCTTCATACAGAGAATCAATCTCAATAGTCGTCTGCGTAGTAGAAGACAAAGTCCTCTTCGCCCTCTCACACGCAGTCCTCAACCTTCTCAAAGCTCTTGCATTACCGCTAATATCCTTCTTGTTCTTCCTCTTGAACTCTGCAACAAAATGATTAACAAGCCTATTATCAAAGTCCTCACCTCCAAGATGAGTATCACCCGCTGTCGCCTTCACTTCAAAAATCCCCTCCTCGATCGTCAACAAAGAAACATCGAATGTTCCACCACCAAGATCGAAAATAAGCACGTTCTGCTCGCCACTTCTCGATGCTTTTTTATCCAAACCATAAGCAATAGCAGCAGCAGTAGGCTCATTGATAATCCTCATAACATTCAGCCCAGCAATAGCACCAGCATCCTTTGTAGCCTGCCTTTGCGAGTCATTGAAATAAGCAGGCACCGTAACGACCCCATTCTTAATAGGATGTCCCAGATAAGCCTCCGCAATCTCCCTCATTTTCGTCAAAACCATAGAAGATATCTCCTCGGCCGCAAACTGCTTCTCTTCACCTTTGTACTTAACAACAATCATAGGCTTATCACCAGGACCTGCAACCACCTTGAAAGGCCAATGCTTCATGTCACTTTGAACAGAAGGGTCAGAGTAACGCCTGCCGATAAGTCGTTTGGCATCGAAAACAGTGTTTTGAGGATTCATAGCAACTTGGTTCTTGGCTGCATCACCTATCAAACGTTCAGTATCAGTGAAGGCAACATAAGATGGAGTAGTTCTGTTGCCTTGGTCATTAGCTATGATCTCTACACGATCATTCTGCCACACGCCTACACAACTGTAGGTTGTGCCCAGATCAATTCCAATTGCCTTGCCTTCAGTTTTTGATGCCATCTATACTGAACTTTAACAACAACAGTCTCTAAAGAAAGACTTGGCTAAGAATAACAAGAACGTGTTTGTTTTAGTGGGTTTTGTGAGAGCTTTCTTTGGTACTTTTCTGGCTTCAAGTTTCAAGTTGATGGGTGCGGTTTGAGGGAGGAATTTATATAAAGGGAGTATGGAGGTTATGGAGAAATTTCCAGAGGAGAGTGGAAGAGATGGATTCGTGGAAGTAAAGAAGTGTTAAGGTTGTAACTAGAGAATTCTGGAGAAATGGTGAAGTGTGCTTTGCTGTTTGGCGTCGAGAAGCATTTGGGTCAAAGATGGAAAGCATACGTGGATTCTGTAGAGTGGATTGTTGTTGCGCGATCATTTACTTGGACTTGGGCTGCTAAAATTTGAGAAATTTAACTTGTCGGTTAATATATAATTATTTAAACAAATTAAATCAATTTTATCAGTGAAACGGAAATTAAATTTTAAATATGAATATTAAATTATGTGACAAATCTCTTTTACTAATCTATGGAAAATTGTGTAGGAAAATAATTATTTTTGGTTAAAATTATGTTACAAATTATAATACAATAAATTTATATGACAAAAGTTTGTATCTTAAAACAAAATACATGTAATTGTTGATATATGTTCTTAATCAAATACAAATACTGAAATATTTCCATATAAAAAAGTGCTAGTAGAATGAGAAAAAACAAACACAATTGATAGAGACAAAAGAGAATGCACTAGTAATTAAGAGTCAATTATAAAGTAGTCTTTTTATTTTTGAGAAAAAAATTAATTAGTCCCTCTTATTTCAAAAATAATTTCTTAATTCTCTTATTATTGTTGATCATGCTTAATTTAATTTTAATTTATTTCATAAAATATTATTTTTTTATAGTCTAGACTTTCATTTTTATTTTTTTATACTTATTTTTTGTATTTTTTTCTATTTATTAAGAAAAAAAATCAAAATAAATTGACAAAGAGCAAAAAAGATTAAGTTACAAGAAGTTTTAAAAAT